ATTTATTAAAATGTTTATGTTTCAGAGAGAGAGAGAGCACATGTGCGCACACGCATGAGCGGGGCGGGGGTGGGGGGGGCAGAGAGAGAGACACAGAATCCAAAGCAGGCTCCAGGCACAGAGCCCGACGCGGGGCTCGAACTCACAAACTGTGAGATCATGACTTGAGCTGAGGTTGGCGCTCAACTGACTGAGCCGGCCAGGCGGCCCAAGAAAAAACTTTCTTTTAAACTGTGTTATCCGTCCGTGTTTAGACAGCAATTTCATAAATATTTTGGCATTTAAACTTTTGCTCATGTTTGGCATGGCCTGTGGGACAGTATATAATTAACCCCAGGGAGGGGAAATTTCGGGCAGTATTTACTACAATGGTAGGGAAAAGGAGACGGATCACTTCAGTAAACAAAGTACGCTTTGAGAAGACATTAAAAAGTTGTATTCAAAATTAAGGCAAACCATTTGCTTTCCTCGTGCAGTGGAGTTCATGGAGCTGGCCGCCTGGGTCGGGGATAAAATTATACCGCCCGGCCCAGAGTCTGTCAGTAAGTCCACAGTGGGGTCTGTGCCCAGACGTGGCGTATGGAGTGGAAGGGTCCAGGACACCCACCCAATTCAGCGCATGGTTCAGTGGGTTTGGGTTCGTTCGCCATGTCATGTGCTCTAATCCCGGAACATTTTCGTTCTCCAAAGCAGAAGCCCCATCACCCCCCATGCCCACCGTGGCATCCACGTAACCCCCTTCCTGTCTGTGGATGAGCCTGTTCTGGACATTTCGCACACGTGGAATCACACAAGTGGAATCACACACAAGTGGCCGTTTGTGTCTGGTTCCCTCCCCGAGCGCCGTGTGTTCAGGGTCCGTCCGCGTTCGTATTTTATGGGCTGAGTAATATTCCATTGTTTGGAAGGACCACATTTTGTTTATCCAGTCATCATTGATGGCTGTCTGGGATGTTTCCTTCTTTTGGGTTTTAGAACGCTCTACAAGTTTTTGTAGGGGCACATGTTTTCATTTCTCTTGGGTGATACCAAGGCATGGAATTTCTGGGTCACATGGGGACTCTGTGTTTTACCTTTGGAGGAACTGCTGGGTGTTTTCTTTTCTTTATGTTTATTTATTTTTGAGGGAGAGAGAGAGAGACAGAGCATGAGCCAGGGAGGGGCAGAGAGAGAGAGAGAGGGAGACACAGAATCCGAAGCAGGCTCCAGGCTCTGAGCCGTCAGCACAGAGCCTGATGCGGGGCTCAAACCCACGGACCGCGAGATCATGACCCGAGTTGAAGTCAGACGCTCAACCGACAGAGCCCCCAGGCACCCCATCTCCCCCTCCCACTAGCCATGCACAAGGGTCCCCAGCTCCCCACGTCTCCGGCAACACTTGTTATTGTCCCTCTTCAAGTTACTATCATTATTTCTGGAGCCATCGTGTCGGTGGTGAGATGAGGTCTCGCTGTGTTGATTCCCAGAGCCTCATGATCTTAGAGGCTGTTCGGTCTCTGTGGCTGTGAAAGGGGCCCACTCGCAGCCCAGCTCTGTCGTGGTTTGGAACGTAGACCTGGGTGGGCAGAGTCCCCGTTCCAGCCCTCGCCAGCTGTGTGGCCCTGGGCACGTCCCGGCTGCCTTGTCTCCTGGACAAGAGTGACCTCGCAGGGAGGCAGTGCCTGATGCCTGGGCTCCCAGAAGGTCCTCCCTGAGCACAGCCTGGCCCAGCCTGGGGGACTCTGGACCCGCCAGACTGGACTCTGGTTGCTTAGCAATGGGAAGGTGATCCATTTCCATGGCGGCCAAGGGCTCGGATTCCTGTCTCGGGGGCAGTGGCCAGTGGGAAACACTCGGCTGGATCCCGTGCGACCAGGGCACGCCCCACCCTCCGGGCCTCCAGCCCAGAGTCGCTGCAAGGCCTTGAGGTGTGGACGCCCGTCCCCCGGATTTGGAAACCGAAAGTAGAAAGCGCTTTCCTTCTGGGCAGAAACCGGGAACTGGAGCCCTGACCCTCGACCCCAGAGGAGGCAAGTCCCTAGGGTGTGTCCCCCCCCACACACACACTGACGAAGGGCAGCTGTCCCTCGACCCCAGAGGAGGCAAGT